CAAGGGAACGAAGAGTCTCAAACCAGGACATTTCGCGGAAAAAGGGGTCGTAAAAACAATTTTTTCGGTATAGTACAATCCTAGGGGAGGGGAGAGCATAAAAAATCCGACTTTAAATTTTTTTTGGACCACCCCAATGTACATACATACATACATATATCTTAATTGAATTTTTATTATTATATTTTTATTTTAACTGTATCGATATATTAATCACTTTCTTGTTAATGCATATAATTAATAAATTTATTAAATTGTTACCAATTATCTGAAAATAATAAAAAAGTTAAAAAAATCGTGAGCTACTTTTTCGGTACATTTGACAGCAAAAGGTACATTAAATTGTTAAATTACATAGGTACAATTTCAAATTTCGATTTTCCATCCCTGATCCAAATACGTTTCTGCTAAATTTTGGTATGAAAATATTATTTTCAAATACGAACATTTTTAAACGATAATCAAATACAGTTGTGTGCGACTGCGCAGAGTGATAAAAGCTATTTTTTTAAATGTTCTGCTTTAAAAATTGAAGAGTTGCGATAAAATGTTTTCAGTTAGAATATAACAAACAGGAAAGTAAAAAGGACACTGAAGATGGCACAACGCCGAAACCGGTTTGTCTCCAAACCAAATTTGATAAGGGATGACGGAAAACCGTTCCACAATACATCATACTTAATGACTTAATTACATAGATTCCCAAAGCTTGAAGGATAGTCAGCGTTGCGTTCATCCTGAAGACCGGAAAAGGCTCTAATGTTTCTCCTAAGGAGTTTAAGCCTATCAGTCTGCCTTCATTTTTATAAAACCGCTAGAGAGACCTGTACATGACTATCTTATCTTTCAAGAGCTCAACATATTTATTGCAAGGTCGGTGCATGTCACTGCAGACGCAATAGTTAAGTCTATTAATAATCTGGGGGTTGACACCAACCTAATAAGGCTTATTTACAGCTTAATTTATGACATAGCTGTCGCGGCAGAGTGGAGGAGCGCCTGCACTCAGCGCAGAGACATTAGGAGCACTCCGTAGGGTGGTGTTCTCTCTCCCCTGCTCTGTACTGCGGTTGTAAACGACCTTATAGAGGAACTGGAAAAAGTGGGATGTCGGGTGATCGCCTATGTAGATCATGTGGATCTTTTGGGTAAGGGAGGATTTCTATACACCCTTTTTTTCTGCCTCAAGATTACCTGAAGCATGTAACTAGGTGGACGATCAACGTTGGCCTCGCAGTAAATCCAAGCTCTGCGGCTCTGATATATACTTAGGCTTGATCCTGGATAGGAAGCTGTCGTGGAAGCCTAAAATCCACGAAAGGGGAAAAAGGCGTCGATTGTCTTGTACAGCTGTAGGGCAGCTATCGGTAAAAGGTAAGGTCTTTTGCCCAAAGTAATTGCAGACAGAATTGTAGTAGCACGAATTGCTGTTAGGCTAAGGGAACCGTCTGGTAACACTCTGGAATTCTGGGAGGCTTCGATTTCCCTCAAGAGAGGACTGGGTAGGACGGGGTTACTAAGGCTTCTGGACTTCTGCAATGTATTTCAGGTGGAAATAGCTGCCTTCAAGGAAGCGGTAGACGCACTGCTAAATTGTGTGATGGTGCATTTGAAATCGGCAAAGGAATGTCTGACTTCTTTATCCATCGCGTCAGAGTGCTTGGTAGGTACTTCTTCTAGTTTAGGTGCCGGGCAACAGTGACATCGCTGAAAACTGCGTGGCTGCTGACCTGGCGTTGGAAAGGCCCCCTTAAAACGTTATCCCCAGATAAGAAGCAACTAAGGACGCCTCTGTCTCCTGGTACACTATTTGATGGCTGGGCAATAATGAAATTTCATGCTTTACTAAATACCTCATAAAATGGACAAAAGAAAGCGATGCTCCTTTTGTGACATAAAAGAGGAAAAGAAAATGTTTTATAAGGCTAGGGTTGCCAGACGTACAGCTTTTGGGAGTAAACGTACTCCTTTTTATTGTAATGTACTCCCTTGTACTCCCAAAAAAAAATATCTGGAAATGTACTCCTTTCTTAGTTTTGTACTTCTTTTGTACTCCTTTTTCCAGCTATTATTATTTTATCATATACAGGGCGTAAAATAATAACTGTTGCACAGGTTTTATTGAAAAATAAAAGGGAACTTTATAGATTTTGCGAAAAAAGTAGTTTATTGTTAATTATCCACGGATTTTACTTAAATTTTATTAATAAGTTTTTAAATTTTAACCTTCATTTGCGTTTACCAGCGGTAAACACTTTGAGAGAAAAGCTCAAGCGGCACGCAAGTCTTCGTCGGTTACTTTATTACATATCGTCACTAGATACGAGCTCAAAAAATGACGGCGAAAAAAGACATAAAAAAAGACATAAAGAAACTTCAGCGTCATACTTCGCCGAAGTTTTTCATAAGCATATTTTTTCGCAAAATTTTTTAACGCGCCTGTTTCCGCCGTCAAAACAATAGCGCGCCTTTATTCGTGTGTAGTGACTATATCTTCTGTAACCATAGGCTAATTTCCTCCATTTGGCTCCTTTATACTCCGTATTTTGCCCATCATAAGGCCTCATACTCAGCAATCGAAAAGAATCGGAACTGGTGACAAGGAGGCCATTCATTCGATCAACCCTATACCTATACAGCTTTCTTTTTGTTTTTATAAAAATCTAAGAAAAAATACACCTGAAAAAAGCATGTACTTATCTCCCAAAGCTGGCAAATGGAAATAAGGATTAAAGTTTTAAAACTAATTAATAAAATTAAAGTAAACTATTTATAAAGTTAGCAAAAAATACTTTTTTTTGCAAAATCTTTAAAGGACTCTTTTATTTTTCGAAAAACCTTTGCGACAGTTATTATTTTACGCCCTGTACTTTGCCATTCATATTGTGGCGAACACTACTTAGTAAGTAAAGTTAAGTGTGATAGTGAAAAGGAGTAAGCATGGTCGTAGGCAGGTAGGTGCAGGGCGCTCGGGTATAAAAATCAGAAAAATTATAAAATAAAAAAATGCCATACATTCAGGAATAGCCTGGAATTCTTTTGTAGAATTTAGTTATTTATTTTTAACATTTATTGTTGCTTTGAAAAAGATTTCTATGATATCCGTGTTTGTTTGTACCTAAATAATGGTAATTTGTAACAATAAATTGCACAAAAAAATTAAAACAAAAACTGTACCCCTTTTTTAAGCTCTGTACTGCTTTTTTTTATCGAAAATAGAAATGTACTCCTTTCTCTGTTTCAGAATCTGGCAACCCTATATAAGGCACTATAAAATACTTTTTGCAGCGCAAGTAACGAGTGACCCATCGTTACCCCTTAAAGGCGCCGAATTCCACGTTACCTCTCAAGATCTAGTGATAGGAGTTTTGACATTGTGCGATTAATATTCACTAGGAGTTTCAACTGATCTCTTTTGTATCAGCTGTCAAGAGGAAGATGAAGTGGAATCATCTTCACACTTTTTTTCGGAGTCCAACCTTCGCAAGGCTAATATTAAAGCATTTTGGCTCACTCTTCATAACTAACACTGAGCTCTCAGGGATCAAAATATTGTAATCGGCTCGCGGCGTTAACCCAACCCACCCAACCTAGCCAGTACTTCTTTGAGCTATGAAATGGTTAGTCACATTAATCATACTCCTACCCTGTCGGAAACACAAAAAACCAAAAAGAAATTTTTCCAAAGGTTTCAGTGCAGTACAAATGCACTATTATGTACAAAAATTATGAGCCAAAGATTTTACTACGATAGTTTCAGAAGAATACCATTTTTCAGAAATATTTTATGAGAAAATTGTTTCTTGTAATCATTTCTAATGAATTTTCTACGTTAAGTACAATTCATCATTAAACATATATTTTGGAGGTTAGGATTCCCAAATAAAGTTAACTTATGACATTAAAAAACTAAATTTAACTTATTTAGTTCATACTGAATACCTTCATAACCAAAATATTGATATGAATAGGTATCGATACTTTCTTTCTATACTACTTCCAAGCAGAACTTTTTGGACCAACCGGCTAAATTGGCAAAGAGAAACCGGCTTAAAACGGCTACACTGTTTCAGCTAAATTTCACATGTTTTATTAAAAGAAATGACAAGTAGAAAGACTAGTTCTTGGAGAGAAGTTGCAAATTCAAGCGAGAAAATATTTTTCCAGCAAGAATTTGCAATTAGGAAAAACGTATGACACATGGTTGGATTTTTTGTCGACGATAATTTGAATAAACAAGTTTGTTAAATGTAAAAATTTACAATCTTGAGCGATTTAAAATGAAAAATACTTGTTTACTTAATTAACTTAGTTAATTAGAATGGTTTGAAAGGCACTCGANTTGAATAAACAAGTTTGTTAAATGTAAAAATTTACAATCTTGAGCGATTTTAAAATGAAAAATACTTGTTTACTTAATTAACTTAGTTAATTAGAATGGTTTGAAAGGTACTCGACTCAAAAAAGTGTAGTCGTAATCGCAATACAATCTCAACCAGAGTCGATATAAGAAACCCGACAGGTACTACGACAAAGAAATTGAAACTTAAGAAAGTCGGACTAACAAAAAATATGCATGTAGATCCTGTCTTTTGCCCTTCTGAAAGAATTTGCGAATTCCTGCAAATCGTGTAGAAATCTGCAAGTTTCTCTACTTGAGAGAGAATCTGGGAAAAATATTTTTTTTTACTTTAGTATTCAAACACTCACCTTTCATTGTTTCAACGGCAACCAATCGGAATAAATAAACGCATATTGGAATATCTAATGAATTTTACTTCTTATAAGTTATTATTTATTTATTTATTTTACGGAGCGATAACATAAATTAATACATTTAAGATTATTTAAATATGTGTATAATACGTAATAAATAAATTCTAAAATTACCGTACATCTGTTTCATATTTGGTTGTCCGCTTTCAATTTAATTACTTTCAAGTAGTTTTAAGTAAGTTTACTACATTTGAAATCGGTTTACAGTTGCTTGTTCTCTTTACTAGTGTTGGAGGATATTTAAAATTTAAAATCGCGGAAATTAAAATAATTCCTACGTTTCTCTATGGGTGCATCCTGACATAGCTCGATAGCCTGTGCATAAATGTTTGAATAACATTTAAAAATTGAAGACTGCAATAGTTTACTTTGAAACATTATATTTACCTATTATTTTTAATTTTACGGGTTTCTATAAGTTTTTAAATCTATTTTGATTATGTTTTTGATATTGTTGTGCTGGTACTATTAAAATTTTTCCTTTTGAGCTTTTAGAACATCCTTCTTCATACCTTCTCACTTTTATACATATGCAGAGATTTTTAAAGATTTGGGTATGCTGGAGTTTAATCTAGTTAATTTATATATAATTTTTAGTTTAAATTGACTAGCACAAGTACTTTTTCTTCGGCTTCATCGTGCGAATGCGTCATTTGGAGCCGACTCCATTCGCTACCAGGGAACTAGGTGGCGCGACGCCACCACTACCCGAGTTTTGTGGTTGTGGCACCTGCGCCGTTGGCTGTGGTGCTTGGGTTTGGTTGGGCGGGGATCTGGAGATGGGCCCTCGCATAGTAGCTGAGAGTGGAATCCCCTGTGATACACTATGTTTGGTGGAGAGATCAGTGGATCTCGTTGTACCACAAATCTAAAACGAAATTAGTAACACATTTTTTATGGTATTTGCACAGGTTGTGTTAATCGCAGAGCTAATTATTGCAATTACCTACCTGATGGTGATGTTCCCAATCCTTGTGTTGGCAAAATGCACCGCAATAACGCGCTAAATTACATCCGGAACAGGTTTCAGTTGCTTTGCGCCCACAGTTCCAGCAAGCCTTCAATAAAGATTGGTACTGTGAATAAAATACTATTTTGTATGCCTTAAATTTCGTCGGCTTACGTTTTGTCCAGCTGTTATTGAGGGCGACTTGTTGTCCAACTCACGATCGCCTGAAACTGCTGTCACTGCTACTCCTGCTACTGCTGCATTTGAGCTGTGAACTACACTTGAGTGGCGACTCATCTCCACAAAGAACTTTTCCATGCGCAGGCGCTCCTGGGCCATCACTTCGGATGCGCGCGTTTCAGCTGCCACAACAGCGCGTTGTATCTCGATCACTGCTTGACGCTTCACCTAAGCACGTAAGAAACATTATTTAGCTTGACACGGAATGGGCTCAGAATAATTTAAAACTTACTTGGTTGACTGCTTCTTCGGCATTGCGTTTGAACTCGGCTACTTTCTCTTCCGTTTGGCGACGAATTTCGACCAGCGATGCCGGAGTCAGCTCACTGTAGTTGGGCTGCTGAGGCTCAACACCACGCTGCTGCAATATAGTTATGGCCCGTTTGGTTTTATCGACCATTGCTGATATACAATTGAGCATAGTGTGTATGTTCTTCCATTCCTCCTCCCCGCCGAGAGTCGCACTGCTACTACCACCACCGGTCCCACTGCCACTGGAAGTTGGGGGGCCGGTGCGTGGGGGATGTCGCTGCGAGGCAGGGTCAGAACCAGTGTTGACACGTAGGTCCCGCTCTTCTCGGTGATTTGCCTAACAATGTTGAGGGTCTTATGAAAAACCTTTAAAACCGTTGCCCCCCGGGTTATATTGCTTACCTTCTCCATTAGACTGTTGAAAGTGTTTTCCGAGTGAGTGACCGCTGACGCGTTGCCGGTCGCAGATGAGTAATCGAAAATCGTCGGTTGAGTGGCAAATGATAGCCGTGCTTCAGTAGATGCTGCACTTATGTGAGCAGAGTGAGCATGCAAAGCGCGCTTTGCAGGCGGATAGGCGGCCAAATAATCATTCCAGTCTTGTACTCCATTATGATGCTCCATCAAAGTGTCCGAAGCTCGTCGCTTAAAAACGAGGCTGGTGGTGCTTGCAGCATTTGAAGCCGCAGCTTGCGCTACAGCAGCCGCCGCTGCAGCCTGTGCGGAATCCATGTGAACAAACATGTCACTATATTCGGCTGAAGGTCCGTGTGGAGAGAACTCCATTACAACATTCTCATTGCTAGTGACGTATTGTAGTGGTGTCTGGAGATAGGGAATGCATAATCACAAATAAGCCGCTAAAAATAACTGAGTGTCAAGCAGAGTCTTACCTGATTTGTGACGCGTGCCAGTTCGGCGATCTCGCGTTGTAGCAGCGAAATATGATTTTTGAGCAATGGAATGACGTATGGACGCAGTGGTAAGTTAATGGTCTCTTGGAGCGTTTGACGAAACTCGTCAATACTTATGCTGCTACTGACCAAAGATAGCACTAGGGCGCGCACACGATCGCTCACTTCCGGATGTACCTCCTGCGCCAACTGCACTAGAGAACCGAGGAACTTGCGTATTTTACCTAGAAGACGCGACTGTTCGGCGTGTACTGCCGCTGCAGTTGCAGCAGCAGCAGCCGCTGCCAATGCGGCCTGCGAGGGTGGAGTGGGTAGAGGAGGGGGTGTCGTTGTGGTGATGGCTCCATTCACGACCGGCGACGCGCTGGCATTACGATTTGGGCGTGGCGGTGGTGGCGCTAAACTAGAGTGATGGAGTTGTGGCGACATAGGTGAGCGTGGCGCAATAGCACGGGCACTCTCCGGTGAATCAGGGGTCCGGCAGGTGCGCGCACCGTTGCCGTTCGGATTCGTGTTGTTCGAACTAGAGTTACAAGCCCCACTTGCACTACCCACACCAGTACAGCCGTTCGAATGCGAGTTATTGCTATTACTTGAGTCTTTGCCGGATGTGGAGTTCGAGGAGGAGTTTGCTGAAATGAGAAAAGGGCGAAATTGCCGTTATAAATGAATGAGAAATGTTGTAATTAGCGTTAGGTGGTTATGTTCTGTTTGGACAAGACTGCCGCAGGCACCACAACATCAACAGAATGGAAAATGCAATCAGGTTTTGCTGCCCGCTGCAAACTGAAAATTTAACAAAATTTGGCCAGCAGCTGCAACATGACCACCGATGCTGGTCAACTGGACACTCGGTGGGCCTGTGGGCGGCTGGGTGGCTTTGTGCATTCCTGTATTTATTATTGTTTCTGCCGAGTTGTCATGTTCAAAGCGTGCAGCACCCGAAACACGAGATTCCCATGTCCGTCCAACAGTTTCTCCGATGTTTCATTGTTGAGTTCGTGTGCTCGCGCAACCGCAAATGCCGAGATTTGTGTTACGTTGCTTCTGCCATTGACGCAGACTCAGTGCTGATACTGCTGACCCGAAGGATAAATGCTATGCTGTGTGGTGGTGCATGCGAAAGTACATGCCAACAGCTGACACATCATAAATGCATTAGTTGCAACATGAAGAAGGCATTTCGCTTCGTTGGTTTGTATTTCACATTTAAGTGCTCATGCACACGTACATACATATGTACAACAACTTCAGCAATCTCCTGCTCTAGCCCTCTTATGCTTCCACGCCCTCGAGGGCAACTGACCGTTGCAACAATCGTCCCTGCTTCGCTGCTGCACTTGGTCACACAAGCTCTTGTGGTGGTGTCTGAGTGTTGTGCTTTTGCAGGATGGGGCATACCACAGGAGGACGGCATGAGGTGACATCGCTAGCCATTAGCCATTGCTATGCGAGTGGGGGCAAGCAGGCAATTGCCGTATTTAGGTATTTGCGAACATGGCAAATAAATTAGTAACATTATGGACAAATTGCACTTGCACACGAGTTTTTCCCTGTCACTCGTGTTCTGTTGCAATTGCTGTCATTCTCGATGCCCGCTAGTACGGGTGTCTAAAGCGTAAACACGTGTTTCAACATTTGTTGCCAAGTACATGATTGCATTTTGTTGCCACATGTTCGGACATGGAAAACTTTAAAGAGTTTTCAGTTACAACACTTGACTGAAATCGACACAATAGGGGGAGGGACAACGAATTTGCTACCACCTAAACGAATTTAATAAATATTAGCCCACAACGAGGAAATCTTAACTAGCTTTCTCTAAGAGTAAAGAGTACCGATGTCCAAGAGAAAGGAATATGGAGAACATAGCTTTCTAAATTTCTTGCGGCTTTCATTTTACTGCCATCCTTAAATTGGCACGTCAAGCGCTCAGAAACTGTTAAAAATCATGCCCATACAACTTGTATGAAGCATCCCACAATAACGAGGCTTCAGCGCCGACAAATGGAATTGTCATTTTCGACAAGGCGGTACGTGTTGAAGTTGGATGCACAAGACGGAAAAACTTGAAGAAATGAGATAACGTCAAAAATTACGCCGCGCTGATTTGGGTATAGCGTGCACTGGCACTCGTTGGCATTGGAAAAGGCAACGCTTAACGCTGCAATTTAGGGACAGCAGTTAAAGGCCAGCCTAATGCGCACCAATGTTGCCGTTTTAGCCCTTTGGTTGCTAGATTTAGCTACCACATACTTTTTTTGGCCACGTAAATTTAAAATTGCCCCTTGCCCCTATTTTAGCCCGTTGGAAAATTTATTCAAACTTTGTTGTACAAGTTGTATAGGTATGCTTGATCTAATTTTTTTCATTTATATATAAGATGAAATTTTAAACTAACTGACCGTCTCCACAGGATAAAATTTATTGCTGTCCAGCTGTCATTGTGGTTGCTAGATATAAGTTATATCAGTGGCAATATTTGTGTGGGCTTGTTATATCTTGATAAAAGCGTTTTTAAGATGAAGAGAATTTAATCGCTTACAAAATTAGAAAATAGGTTGTTTTACATTCAAGTACATAATGATAAATATTTTAATAGACAGCAGCTCAATTTTTGCTTTTATATTAAAATTATCAATAATGTTGCCGCCACAAAGTTTTCGTGCAAATGAAAATGTAGCTGTCAAACTTCCAAATTGGCGGCAATAGATGACAAGAAATAAGCTTCGATATATATTGCTCTTGAAGAGCAATGGGGGTCTAAATTGGATATTTATATTCTAACATATGTATCAAGATGTAAGCTTATCCTGTGGAGACGGGCAGTAAGAAAGACTCTGATATATATGTATATGTACATTAAAGTGGTCAAAAAATGTATGTAAAAAAATAAGGTCGGAGTTTTAATGCCGCCACCCCCTAGGATTGTTATATGTGACCTGGTCTACGAAAAGGGAGCTTACGTGCGAAAACTAGTTTTCTGTGAAAATGCTGTTAAAAGTAAGCAACTCGTTTCGTCAGTTTCTCATTATCTCGTTAATTGTTCTCCGCGCCGGACGTCCAGTAAGTGTTGTTGTTGGTCCAGTAAGTGTTGTTGTTGGTCCAGTAAGTGTTGTTGTTGGTCGGAATATTATTATAGTTCTTCGTGTAAGTTGCTAGTGTGGAACATTTAAAAAAGTAACACTGAAGAAGTGACGTTTACTGTTTCTGTTGATTATCGTCTTCGCATTTCGCATGAAATGAAACATGAGTGTTGATGAGGAGTTCAGTGCCGTATACGGACAATATTTCCATGAAAAGGATGATGAAAACGATGATGAAAACTATGAAGAGAGCGATGATGATGAAGACGAAGTATGTGTATCTCAGGCAGAAGATGATACCGAACAAACTTTTGTTAAGATGGACCTGTATGTTGTTGATGTAAAGGAGGAGGAGCTGGTAACAAAATTTCTGTCAAAAGATTGTTGTAATAATGAATGCCATACACTGATAACACGGTTTTCTAGTGTATAATCATGTCTTTATAGCTTATAATTCAATGTATTTTGTTCATTACCAATAAATTATATTTTGTCGTATTTTTACTCTTCTTTCTCTACATTTTTAGTACACTTCTAAGCAAGTTAGGATTTTCTGCTTTTCACCACGTGAAAAAGCATCTCATCTTCCATCCGAATCAACCAAAAAGTGAAAATTGATTTTTTGACACCTAAGCCCCCTTTCCGTAGACCAGGTTACATATACCGAAAAAAGTACACCCATATTTTTTTATTTTGAAATATTAGGGAGTGCTCAAAGCGCACAAAGTTTTCCATGTATTTTATATGGAGAAAAAACCATTTTTCGTAGAAATGGTATAAAACTCTTGAAAATCAATATTTTTCGACCGGAAAACTGTGGTTCTCTTCAGGAGACTTCCTGTATTAATATCCAGTTGTTTATTTAACCATTTTTTATGATAACAGATTTTTTATTGGTCCCCCCATTGCATTTTCTAAGGGCTTTGGAGGACCTATAAAATATAGTTACCATGAAAAAATTGTTAAAAAAATAATTGAGTATTATTACTGGGAGTCTCCTGAAGATAAATAAAGTTTTCCGATCGAAAAATATTGATTTTCAAGAATTCTACACTATTTCTACGAAAAGATGTTTTTTCTCTATATAAAATACATGGAAAACGTTGAGCGCTTTGAGCACTCCCTAAATATTTTTTGATTTCAAAATAAAAAAATTGCGGTATATTTTTTTCGATATAGATCAAGCCAGGGTGTGCCGGCATTAAAACTCCGACTTTATTTGTTTGGACCACTCTAATGTACATATGTATGTGGGTATATTTATTGTATATTACTTACGTTTTTATACAAACTATAACTTATCTGTTAAGGTTTTAACTATACTTTAAAATGGATAAGTTTACAGCCCCAAATATGCTTAATGTGTTAAAGAGCCCATTTATGATTCTATCATGCTGGCGCCTCCAAGTATTAGTGCCAGCGGATTGACCGTGTGTGTTTTTGTGGTGTGATTGTACCTGTGCTGGTGCGACATCAAAAACGATCTCAAAATTTGATGATTGTACCTGCATGCTGGTATCGCGAAAGGTAAAATTAGCTCTTTTTTTAAAGAATTTTACCTAAAATTTCTTGCACTACATGAGTCAAAGCCGTGTTTTTGGAAAAATTATGAGATTTCGGCTCTAATCAATTTGGTATTTTTTGGACCTCATTTGTAAAGAAATAAATATTGTACCAGCAAGCTGGTATATTATATGCTTCGAGCCTGATGGTGCCAGCAAGCTGGTGTCGTGTATTTGCCCTTTTATATGTACATATATGTAAGTAAAAAATTTTAGCTACCATTTTTAGCCACAACCAATTTTTTAAAACTCTTTTTAGCCCTGTTTTTAAAAGGAATTTGGCTACAACTAAAAATTATTCGCGGCAAGACTGATGCTTACACACGTTGGCAATTACATATGTATCTGTAAAAAATTTATCATGCTCATATACCTAAATATTTTTATAGGGACTTAACTCAATTTCCAATTTTTGGGCTGTGTGAGGCTTTGATTTTACGTTTCGCTCAGCGAAATCAAAAGCAAACGCACGCAATTCGGGTCACGGGATTTAGATATTCATTACTTTTCAACCACTTGAGTCGAAATATTACTTCTATGTATATTGTTTGAAAAGTTCTCCTTCCATGAAATAAATAATAAATAAATGGGTTTGAAGCTACTTTTTTTTTTAAAGTGGCGTTTTTATTTTTTCTCTCCGACCGTAGGATTTATTTTGAAGGACTTTGTAATTTCAAAGATATGATTAATTTCAAAAATTATTCAAAAAATTCAATGCAATGTAGAATAAAAATATGGGTAACAAATGCAATAGGAAATTTCTTTAGAATTTAAAAAATTTAAATTTTTTGGATTCATAAGGACGAATAGGTAATTTTTATGCTGACAAAGTTAGAAGAACGAAATTCGAGGATTTTATCGAGTTAATATAAGCCCTTAACATATAGTTTTTTCAAAACCAAATATTGCGAAATTTCAAGGATACAATTTTAAAATGTCATTTTCAGTATTTACCAACCCTTCTGCACCAGAAACTTGACTCTG